GAGAATATGTTAAATTAAAAAAAACAAAAACATAGTAAGGCCCTAGAAAAAGTTGATACAATTGAGTATGCAAGACTCAAAGGTTCGCAAAATACAAAAAAGGAAACAGATAACATGTAACAAGCACTTGGCTAAATTAAGAATCCAAGTGGGAGAGATGGATTACGCAGCTCAAAAAACAGTCCTTGAACTCAAATATGACATCGTAAAGAAATCGGATGCCGGGAAAAAAGGATTCAAGGATCGTATGGAGATGCAAATATTAGACTATGTTCCTCACTAAGTTACTTTAAATGGCAAGAATTACGAACCCACAAAACATGAGTCTCCAATACAACTTCTCCTGACAAGGTATAGTTATTCTTCCTAGAATCAAGTTACCTCTCGTGCACATGAGGCAAGACGTATATGTCAAGTAATAGAGTCAAACAATTGTCTAGTAACAATTTTATTCCATTAATCTTCCAATATTGAACAAAAACACTATGAAATTACAAAGGAACAGAACATCTGCAATATCAGTCAGTCTATTCCCCAAATTAATTCAGATATGCAAAAGCTAAAACAAACACTATAGAAAATTACAAACATTACAACTTACAATGACAAACCGCAAAAACCGCTTCTTTTTATCTTCTTCTTCATCATCCGATCCATTAACGATTAAATATCAAAGTTCTCCATCTGAATGCTGCTCTTTAAAGGCACATAATCACCAAGATACCCACCAAGATGATCGTGCAACGCGGATTTATCAATCGGCTGATGATGAAAACTCTTACAAACATAGTAAAACACACTCTGCACAAGCAACCCCACTAGATTCACAATCACTAGAATCCCAACCAAGAAACCACCAACAACAATCTTCGTAAACAACCCGAAATCATCACCTCCATGAACCACAACACCACCGAAAACACCAGCAGTGATTCCACAAAGAGCAAGATACATAAAAACCATCGAACACGCCATATTAGTTCTCCCTTTAAGCAACTCATAACTCTTCTTCATCGCGGCAATCCCGTAAATCGGTTCAAGAACAGAGACAACACTAGCTAAATGCCACCAAGCAGTCATATAAACATGAACACCCAAAAACAGAACAAAGATCACAACCATCGAGAAAACAGCGAGAATCACGCTTTGTAAATCGATAGCTACGATCAAAACAACAAGAAACAACAAGAAAACAGAGTTGTACACAAGCATCATTAAAGAAACCCAAAGGAAGGTAATGAACAAACGCTTCAAAACTAGAGGAATCGCTGACATTGTGGAAGAGAAAGAAACAGGCTTTCCCGTGTAAAGCGAAGCGACGGTGAAGACGACGGCGGCTGTGGAGAGAAGAGAGAAGGCGAAGAGGAAGATAACATAGATGAATTGATAAACAAGAAGAAGGGTCCATTCATGATTGGTTTTAGATTGATCTGAAGGAGGAGTTGAATCAAGCTGAGCTAAGATTGGTTGGGTAAAGAGAGAATGAGCGAGGATTGCGAAGGAAAGAGGGAAAATTAGGGTTAGGGTTATGAGGTAAAAGGTTTTTGGGGAAAATTTGGGGATTGTTGTGGATTCACGTAGTATACCTTGAATGTTGAGAAATTGAAGCTCTTCTGCAGCGAGATCCATGGCTGAGATTAGGGTTTGTGGAGAGATTGAGGAAGAATGTCAAAGGAGGTGACTTTTTTTGAAGATCTGATGGAATTTTTTTCAGAGAGATCTCAACAGAGAGAGAGAAAGGACAAGGAAGAAGGTCACGAAAGAGGACAAGAAGAAGGTCACTTCATGGTTAAGAAAATTCCTCTTTCTTGGAAACAAAAAAAATGCTAAATTTAGAATCAAAGACACGACGAAAAAGAAAAACAGGGTCAAAAAATTATTTTTTAAAAAAATTAATACATACAAATCGATTGTTTTTTTTTTGTCAATTCAATGATTAGATTAGTACTCTAATTTAGAGGGAAATAGTTAAAAAAATATTCATAAGACAATAATTTAGGTAGAAGTCCCTTTGATCTATTGGTTGACTAAGCATTAATTAACGCTTCTATAACAAGAGGTGTAGGGTTCGAATCCCAGATATTACGATTTATTACTAAATTTGTAGATTACTGGAGGCAAGTGTGCAGGAGATCTCCAGCGATATACAATTATAACTGTTCGCCAGGATTCTATGCAGAGAGAAGTATTGTCAAATCGTGGATCATTGAAGGTATCCGTCAAGAGCATGAAGAAGGAAGTGTCGTCTATCGTGGATCTAATAAGGGTCGGAAGAAATTGTCCGTTGTAAAATCGTCTATGTAACAGTTCTCATAATTTGCAATAAATAATAAATCTAGAGGAAAAAAAAACAATAATTAAGAAGAAAAAAGAAGTAAAATATTTGCTTTAAAATAACAAAAACGTAAAATATTAGAAAGAAAAAAAAATACGGAGCAAACCAATTTTATCTAGTATATATAGCAGCAAAAAGAAAATCGCTCTTCAAATTGTAGCATCGAGACCGCACAATCAATTATGTTTTTAAAATTTTCCTTCTTCTCTGTAAACAATTTTTTCGAAGAACACCATCACCTCTCATGGTTTTCTCCTTCCTCTTTCCTAGTCCTTTTCCTTCTCTTTCGACAGTGGACCAATCCCTACATATATAGTATGAAGTGTTCATCAACTTCCATGGAGACAACTGCGTGAAGGGCTTATTGTGGATACCCTGTTAAAAGAAAAAGTCAATTTTAAATGATCGAGAGTTGAGAGGCATAGAACTATAATTGAGGAATCATAATCGCAGTTACAATATATATGGATCAAGGCTATTAGGAATAATAATATCACATATTGGAAAAGGACAAGAGATCTTGATTAGTATATATAAGATATATAGGCCAATTATTGTTAATTTTTTGAATTGGAAACTCACATTCTAATACGGTATGAGAGACCGATCCATACATGCCCAGTCCAATCTACAATTGCCCTGACCCAATAGTTGGTCCGTCGATCTATGATCGAATATACTGAGAACAATGGTTAGAAAAGTCATTATCTCGAGAAGATGTATATTAATATCCTACATTGAAAAGGACAAGAGAGACCTTAACTAGTGTGTACGATATATGAGCCAAGTAGTTATTACCAATTGGGTTTGAGATGGAACCCCAAATTCTAATAAAGACCCGATCATGGGCACAAAAACATGTTGCCCTACCATCGTACAGCTTCCTTGTTATATGGTTTTACGAATAATATGGCTATTTTCGCCGAATCTAATGGTTACTTAATGAGTATTTATTCTAATTTTTTTTTGGGTGACATGCTGGCTTCAATTGGTAACCATAATTTAGGAAAAGAATGAGAAGGAATGTCATATTCCTTTTTGTTCCTCAATATTTTTACCATATACATGTAATATTTTTTCCACACCATTCTTCTACATTCCTCACCAAAAGAGGAACACTAGAACAAAAATGTTCCTCTCCAAAATTGATGAGGAACAAATGGAACAAAAAAGGAACAAATATTAAAATTCGTTTTTATTTTAAAATAAATAAAAAAATAAAGTTTATCAATAATATTTGTATTTTATTATATAATAATTTTCATATCTTCACAATATATTAACAGAAAAAATATTTTTGATAAGAATTTCATGTTGAATTACTCTTAAGACTTCACTTGAAAAATATATAAATAGTAAAATAAATTTAAAAATGTTTATATTGTAAAAGAATAATATATTTTAAATTACTCTTTCAATTTTATTTTATGTTAATATTAAATATTATTATTTAAAATGATATATATAAATTTAGTTCACAAATTTTAGGTTCAAATACAAATTTTCAAATTAAAGAAATATAAAAAATATTTAGTATTTTTCATTGAAATTTGATTTATTTACTATTTAATATATCTTTAAAGATATTTTTAATGTTTGGTTACCATTCATCGTAATAGTACATTTTATTCATTATCTGCATCTTTTCCTTTTCGTTCCTCAAAAATTGTTTATTCCATTCCGCATTGTTCTTTTTATTCCTTTTCTTTTTGTTCTTTTAATGGTTACCAGTCGGAGCCGCTATTTTTTCCTAACTAATTCATTTATCCGATGGCATGTCTAACTAACCAGGAGCCTTTTTCCCGTGGAAAACTAAAGAATCTGACAATCCTGAAAGATTATGATCTCCACACAAGTAGTAGGTATCAAGCTAAAATATCACAAGTATACCACCTCACGCGCTTCAGATTCGCATGGAGTACACTCCCATTGTTTTTTTTCTGAAATTTCTTCTATTTGATTCGAAATCTTCAAGTGATCCCTATCTTCAAGCTGCAAATAGAGGATGCGAGGAAATTGAGAGGAAAATTCGGCGATAATATTCAAAGATCTAAAGTATAACTAATACGATTCTCCTGAAATGACACAGAATGGAAACACTCCAACAAACACAAATCCCCAACAAAACTACAAAAAAAGTCTACTCCAAAAAAGTTGCTTTGGCCATGTTCGTTTGTACATCTGGATAATGCATCCAGATGATCTATTCAGATGATGCATCTGAATGGTGTTCGTTTCTAAATTTGTATTGCATCCAGATGGAGCATCTGAATGAAGTTTTGTTCGTTTGATTGGTTTTTAACAGTTTGCATTTACATCTGGATGCATATTGTATTAAAATGACTAAAAAGGACATTTCTTTCATCTTAATCATACTTTAATGATTTAAATTACATTTACAACTAAATAATTTTTTTTACATCTATAAATTTAAATTTCATGAAATAGTTAAATATTTTTAATTATTTTCTTATTAAATAAAAAGCACTGAAATCATTTTCAATACAATTTGTACTAAATTAAAATAATTGATATAAAAATCTAAAAAATTAGATACTCTTATAGTTTAATCCCTCTTATACCAAATTCGATTATTAAATTAATTAACTTTGACGAGGCACAAATATTTGGTATCATATTTGGCACTTTATATAAAGTGAGCATTACGAAATTCTTTCAAAGCCATGTAAATCACTAAGTTCTATTAAGACCATATCAATCAGAATAAACTTGATCATCTAAATTAAATGATTGTATATTTGTATGTATATATTTGTATGATTGTATCGTATACAAACTATACACAGCGTGGTCACAAATCAATACACAGCAAAAACACAAGCTAAGATGACAAGACATGGTAAAGGATGAGAATGATCTTGGTCATAGGGTCATGTTGCCATGTCAAATGATTCTTGGTGTGTGCTGCTACTTCTCCACCTTCAATGTATCTTGAGTCTTCTCCATCTTCAATGTATCTTGAGTCTTGTATACACTTCATTACTGTAAAAATGATTGAATGGACATATCATTGATCAGTCTTAGGATTAGACAAAGCGCGCACACACACACACACTACACTATTATTTCACTTTATATAGTTTCTTTGTCTTATTCAGAATAAAAGTTTTTTTTTCTTGGTCTTGTCCCTTTCCTCTGTTCATTGTATGAAGTCAGGAGAAAGACAATTTTCTTGCTTAACACGAAAGCTATTAAAAGTAGACAAGCTTGTAGAAAGTTTGTGATATATCGTTTTTTTGTTGTTGTAATTTGTGATATATCTCTGTTGTCATTTCAGGTACGAGACAGATTTTGTGAAGTCAATCGTCGAAGAAGTAAAGAAAGTAAACAAATATATCAAAGAGAGAATATAACACTTGAGGAAGCAAAAGACAATAGTCTGAAACTCTGAATTGATTAAAATGTGTTTTTAAATCACTAAGGTTTTTTTTTTTTTTTTTTTTTTAATAATCAGTAAGGTTTAATTCTTCTTCTAACATTTGTTCATGGTCTTTACTTGTTGGGACTTATCTGCATTTTTCTTTTCTTCTTGGCCGTTTAAGAATCAATCGACCAATGGACCTGAATGGTGAATGGTAACTAAAGATTTGATAAGATTTTTTTCAGAATCTGAGAGACAGTTTATTACGGACTATCAATCTATATAACTTATAGCTAGCCCATATAGTTATCTGAACAATTGAATAATAATTAGTTAGTTCTTACCATCTTTAACAAAAAAGGTTAGATCTTACTATAGTTTGGGGATTTTACCAGAGAAAAAATATCGTAAAAGTCTCAATTCTGCGTTTTCGTTGAAAAAAGTCTCAAATGTGCGTTTTCGTTGAAAAAAGCATCAACTTTGTATCTGGTGAAATAAATAACTACTTTTATTTCACCAGATAAAATAGTGAAGCATTTTTCATCGAAAACACATAACTGAGCTTTTGTTTACATTTTTCTTGATCTTAACATAGCGGTCAATGTGTATCTATTTGTTTTTTATTTGAGTAAAAAATGAGAATCTGTGGCTGAGATCGTATATCCTTCCAGATCAAAGACCAAAATATTTGATATGGTTTTCTCCAAATACCAATCGAACCAACGATTTCTAAGCTTTTCATGAAATACTTTACCAGTTCAACAATTAGCACTTGATATTTTTATATTATTGAATAATAAATATTTAATGGTGGTGGCTAAGCACTACTAAGCCGTAATCATTTTGTATAACAGAAGTAAAATTTTATCGAAGTTGACTTTATTATTCGAACGTCTGCAAACGATCTCAACCAAAACATTCCAATGGCGGCTTCTTCCTCCTCCTCTTCCGAAATACTTCCCAAGTCGTGGCAAGTGTTCATCAATTTCAGGGGAGCAGAATTGCGTGACAATTTCATTAGCCATCTGGAGGGAGCCTTAGCGCTAGCCGGGATCAAATACTATATCGACACGAAAGAGGTCCCGAGCGAAGATCTTAGTGTCCTTTTCGAGAGGATCGAGCAATCTGAAATTGCACTGTCGATCTTCTCCAGCAAGTACGCTGAATCAAACTGGTGTTTGGACGAGCTGGTGAAGATCA